AGAAATCAGGTGGGTCTCGTTGGGAGAATCATAATCGTAAAAGCAAACACCTCTATTGTGTGGGTTTTAAGAATTATTTCACCGTGTGCAGTGTTATTGGCTTATCCTGGTTTGGAGTGTGTGAATCCTTTTGAGATCATGTAACTGGTATGAACAGCTGTTTTCTCCCAGGCTCCATTAAAGGTCTCGATTTTAAAGTGTAAGAGTTGGGAATTAAAATTTGTAATTTCAACGGTATTCCTTGTTACGTTGTTCTGTTTTCGGGTCTCTGACAGGTCATTTATTGTCGCAAAAATAATGACGTCATTTTGGCATCTTTAATAGTTATTTCAGGCGTGAAGCCATGAGTCTCCTGACTTCATTCACGTTTAAGTACCACAACCAGCTACTTCTTATAAACACATGAGATTCAATTCGACCACATTTATGAAAACAAAATAAAATATAGGTTTGTGTGTCGACAATTAGAGGTAATTAGAGCTGCATCTGCTTATCCACGGACGAGACTTGCGGTTTTGGTCACTGATATGAATAAATTAGTGTTATTAGACAAATTTTCACGCAGTTAAACACTGCACCATGTCTATTATACCACAAGGTGTCGTTATCGTACCACTTACCTCTTTCCAAGTCGAACAACTGAGGTAGAAATGTTTCTTTTAAGTGACAGAACATGATATATATATATACAATTTCATAGTTGTATTTGAGAAATGCAAAGGAAAAGTTAATTTTGGTACTGATCTCCTTATGTGGTCACTAAAATCTTTACAACTCTGAAACTGCAAAAGTGTGTGGGAATAAAATAAAACAACACATTGAAAAAGTGACTTTACTTCTTTCAGTCATAGAAATGCATCATATGAAACGTGACATTCTTGTGGCATTCAAAAACAGAAATTTTGCAAAGCTTGATTTACAGAATTTTCCTTAGGGATTAATAAAGTATTCTGATTTTAATTCTGATTACTGTTATAAAGCTTTTTCAAAGCAGGACATCTGCTGGTTAATTCTCTAAAGTGTGTAGCATGCTTTTTTGTTTACAGCCTGCAGTTTGTTCTGCAGCTTCACATTGAACTTTTCCCTCAGAATTTCTTCTAGCTCATCATCTGTTACATTTCTCATGTCATACACATCAACACCTTCCTCTGGTTTGAAGGTGACCTCACTGTAGGTCCAGCCAACCAGTGCTCTGAATCCTGTGGGTGTCTGCAAAGAGCAGATGGACTTATTGATGAACAGTGACGTGGGGTCTGTCTGGAGGTCATGGTTTACCTGAGAGAAATGATATGGCTCACGAGGCTCCAAGGTGAAGGAGTAAATCACCTTTTTTTGCTTCTTGTCTAAAAGACTTGATTTAGCAAATTCTGGATTAGGAACCTCTGGTTTCCTGCCAGTTTTCTCTAGCATCCACACGTCCCCCTTGTCTATGAGGCGAAAGACACCCGCCGCCTGAGACTGCTCCTTTCCAGAGATGAGCTCCAGAGGCTCCCAGAGTTGGAGTGACACCCCAAAACTTACATCTGCTATATAAGCCTTCCCATCAATGATGACCTTGTTAATGAGGTGTGTTTCCTCAGAGTGATGTTCACCACCAGTAGTGTCAAAAACTCTGGAGCCCAAGGTTGTAGTGTCATAGCCCATTTGTCTCAGTACCCAGCCAAACAGGGAGTTGTTCTCAAGGCACCAGCCTCCACGGCTGCTCCTCACCATCTTGTTAAAGATGACCTCAAGGTCCATGGTAATCTTCTCTCCACAGTGGATGCTGAGGTTCTCAAATGGGATGGACATAATGTGCTGCCTGTGGATCAGCTTCAGTGTTGCAAGATCCAGTTTATCATAGGAACCATGGAAACCAATTCTTTTGAAGTACTCTTCCAAATTCATCTTGCCTGTAAAATGCAGGACAACACATTGATAATCATTTTAGTTCTGCAGCCATCTCATTGACAAAGCTTTAAAAAAATACATTAAAAAACCCCAACACCTTTCATTTTGTGCTACATCCTGTCAGTCTACAGGATGCAGCCAGATGTCCAATTCTAGGTCTAGCCTGGTATGCTCTTCGCTTCCTTACAATCTTAGATCAATCATTCAATTCAAGACACCTAATCTTAATTAACATTTCATGTAAGAGTATCTCGGTGGCACGGTGATTAGCACTGTATCTTCACAGCAAGAAGGTCCTGAGTTCAATTCCACGGTCTTTCTGTGTGGAGTTTGCATGTTCTCCCCGTGTTTGCGTGGGTTCTCCCTAGGTACTCCAGCTCCCTCCCACAGTCCAAAGACATGCACTTTGTGGGGATAGGTTAATTGAAAAATCTAAATTGCCCAAAGGTGTGAGTGTGAATGGTTGTCTGTCCCTGTGCGTTAGCCCTGCGACAGACTGGCGACCTGTCCAGGGTGTACCCTGCCTCTCACCCTATGACAGCTGGGATAGGCTCCAGCACCCCCGTGACCCTGAAAAGGATAAGTGGAAGCGAATGGGAAAAAAAATGGATGGATGTAAGAGTATCTCATTAAATTTATAACAATTACATTTAATTCCTGTTTTCTGTTCACGTAAAGACAATGAAAATGCAAGATGGTGGAAGCATTAGTGTTTTAACAAAGTGATCCTAGCTTCATTGTTTCAGCTGCTTACCAATACAATTCTTTAAGTTGTAAATGGTAGTAAATGATAAATTTTTATTTTTTTATGAAATAATGTGGTTTTTATGGGTACAGCAATTGTTGACTTTAACTTGGCATTTACTGCACAAATTAATACATTTTAACACCTTCTTTTGGTTAATACTATAAATATCATTCTAATGACAAATGTTGACTATAACTAAATTAATCTGAAATTTTTTATCTTTACCTTATGTTGTTGTTTGATCGAGGATGTGTTTTGAAGGTCTGGAAGCAAAAACAGAAAAAGGTAAGTGAGCTACTTATGGTTTTTCTTACTATGCTGCAAATCCATCTCATTTCCCTTAAAGCTTCAAAAGCAAATCCTGCAGCTTCTTTGAATCAAGTCTGATAAACATGTCACTTGCAGTCATTGCAAATCAGTATATTTAACACTTTTCCTTTCTTTAAAGTAACAGAAATTAACCTGCAACAAGAAATGTGGCGCAAAAATGTTTAACCTTACTTTGTTTGATAGTGTGATCAAAGTTATTTTCTGAGGAATATATCTGTGAAGGCAAAAAAAGAGGGCAGTAACTGATCTCTTCTACCTGGTGAACTTCATGCAATAAAGTGGGTGAGCTTAAACAGCCAAAAGAACCTGACAGTATATTACTGATTTACTTGATCGTAAGTTAATCAGTGATAGAGTTGGTGCAACTGAGCTGCTTCACTGAGAGAAATAGTGAGAAGTCAATGCATACATGGAAATAAGTATTTATAGAATTTTATCCATGCAGTTATTAAAGTTCTTTCAGCAGCACATTTAAATGATAATATATACACATTTGGAAAGAAGAAATAACGCATCCCTCGCCTCAAAAGAGAAAAGTCCAGTACACAGGCAATAAAACACACCCACATTAATATAATATGGTCAATGATTTTGCAGATAATGACCGATATTATTCATATCATGGCAATTTCTATGATATTACAAAACAAAATAGTTTCTCTTGAATGTGGTCATGTGAAAGAATATATACTCTGGTTCTTTTACAGTAAGTCCTGTTGTTGGTTTGACTATAACTAAATTAATCTGAAAATTTTGTTATTAACAGGAGCTTTGTTATTTGTTATTAACAGGAGCTTGGTGGACAGACCATTCATGCAGAAAGTTTGAAATGGGTGAAATGTGAGGTTGATTTTATCTAACAGCAGTACAGCTGTTAGATAAAATGTGTACGAGCAGTAGAGCCTGATTAGAACTCACTTAAACTGTAATATTAGAAGCATAATTGTCTATTAAAGAACATGGTCAGTTTCATTGTACACTACTAAAACCAGCAAACTGTGGCAGAGCAGCTGCCAGGATAACTGGTAAGTTTACCAAAGAAAAACAAAAGTTCTTACTGAGAGGAAGACTGTCAAAAGCATATTTTCTGTTGTTAAAAGAGGCTGATTTATTTATGTATTGTCTGTCAAAGGACCCACCCACTGCAGGGATCATAATGTGTTATGATCCCTGCTCCCTTTTGAAGAGAATAATTGGTAATGACAACATCATTTTTGTAAAAGCAAGAAACCTTGACACAGAACATAGAATAAAACAGCAAAGTATATTTAAAGTATGTTTAATATCATGAAACCCAAAGAGCCACTGTCCATTCAAGTCTGTTAAAATACAATTTAGTTTATTCTATCTAACACATGTTGATCTAAGAACTGCCTTTGGATGGCCAAGATGAGGATCTGAGTCTCAGTCATGTAGAGGTAGAGGCGTTGAGGACAAATCATTTGATATACAAACGTCCTTGTATAAACCTATGACACTATAACAACTTCACAAAACAGGACATTTTAATACTGTGAATTACTCAGTTACCATATATAAGCATTATGATAATTTTTATAATGGTGAAGAGATAAACAGGTAATATAGTTTGAAAAATAGAAATATTCATGGAATCTTCTTTCTTCATTTCAAGATCAAAATGTTGCCTTTGCAAGAATGTTTTGAGATTGAATTTATTAAACTGGAGAGAAGCAGTGTGCATATTTTCTTACTCTTTCTAACAATATATGATTTTTTTTTTTGTCAGGATGTCTTCAGATTTGCTCAGTTTTCACCTTTTGCTGTTTTACAAGGTTGAGGATAAATACTATGAAATAAGTTATCTTAGTTTAAGCATTATGATATATGGGATTAATAAATATACAAACATAAAACAAAAAAAAAATGTGACACAAAAACATTCAAGGTAGTTATAAATATTAAGATCACTACACTCACTATTATATCCAGAAAAATATAAACATGGTATGTTTTCCCTCATACTGTAAATCATTTTATTTAATGCACAGATACCCTATGTACTTTTAAAATGAGGAATAAAGCTCAGATACGTTTTAAGCCTAATTTACATATTCTGACAGACTTCCCATAATGCACTGAGCATTTCTCCTCTACTCCCTTCTTCTCACTTTCCACTATAATACAATTCCAAATAAAGCTACTTTCAGCTGCTCCCTTATTTACAAGGAGCTGCCACAGCAGGTGGCTTTACCTTCGATTTGTCAATCCTGGTGGAAACCCAAAGGCAAATGTGTAAACTACTACACTACAATAACACTACAAATTAAAATATTTATACTTGCATAGCTTTACTGTTGTTAGGTATGCTGCATCTATTTATATTTTCCTGTTTAGTGTACTTTGCTGCTGTAACAATGTGAATTTCCCATTTGTTCATAATTATGTAATGATTATGTGGATAATTGATTGTTGTGGTGTTCTCTGTATTATTGTAGGGTCTTTACCTTGCAATATAAAGTGCTTTGAAGTGACTGCTTTTGTGATTTGGCGCTATATGAATACAATAAAATCAAATTGAATAATTGGAATTCAAATGGAGTTCTTTTTTTATCGTTCCATCATTCAGTCACATTATTTAGAGCTCATTTCTTTCTGTTTTTATGCAACTACAATTCTGAAGATCTAAATAATTTAATTCATGGAGTTGTCAAATATTTTATTTTGCTGACGAGCTTCAACATAAAATGTTGATATGTGAGGATTGTTTTCAAAGTGTGTACCAGGATTTGTTGCTCATGAGCTTTAGTTTGTTCTGCAGCTTTATGTTGAACTTTTCCATCAGAATTTCTTCTATCTCATCATCTGATATGTCCCTCATGTCTAAGACATCAACACCTTCCTCTGGTTTGAAGGTGACCTCACTGTAGGTCTTTCCAATCAGGGCTCTGAATCCCGTGGGAGTCTGCAAAGAGCAGATGGACTTATTGGTGAACAGTGAGGCGGGGTCGGTCTGCAGCCTGTGACATTTATCTACAAAATGATCCATCCCGCGAGGCTCCAAGGTGAAGCAGTAGATCTGCTTTGTTTCCTTCCTGCTCACCAGACTTGATGTAGCAAATTCTGGATTAGGAACCTTTGGTTTTCTGCCAGTCTTCTCCAGCACCCACATGTCCCGTTTGTCTATGAGGCGAAAAACACCCGCTGCCTGGGGCTGCTCCTTTCCAGAAATAAGCTCCAGAGGCTCTCGCACTTGTGATGACACCCCAAAGCTTACATCTGTTATATAAGCCTTCCCATCAATGATGACCTTGTTAATGAGATGAGAGTCAAGCGGGCCAAAGTCATTGAGGAAACTATTGAAAACTCTGGAGCTTAGTGTTGTCGTGTTGAAACCCATTTGTCTCAACACCCAGCCAAACAGGGAGTTGTTCTCAAGGCACCAGCCTCCACGGCTGCTCCTCACAACCTTATTGAAGATGACCTCAAGGTCCATGGTGATCCTCTCGCCACAGTGGATGCTTAGGTTCTCAAATGGGATGGACATAACGTGCTGTCTGTGGATCAGCTTCAGTGTTGCAAGATCCAGTTTATCACAGGAGGCATGGAAACCAATTCTTTTGAAGTACTCACGCAAATCCATCCTGTTTGTAAAATGCAGGTTATGACACCATTCGTAATATTCCTCAGATAAGACACAGGATACTTTACACCGGGTCATATTATACTGAATTTAGTGATCAGTCCTATATCAAGTTAAAAGTTGCACTTATATATGCAAAGTCGATTCCTAAACATGTTGTAAAGTAGTTTATCACGGACTTGTTTTTGTTTGTTTTCAACAATTCGGTGTAACTCGACCTAAACATGCTCATGACTCATCTTCCCGTTTTATCACATTTTGCACTTTTTGGGTGGTGCGTTTTGTACAGATACGGAACGTGCAGGCCTGCTCAACTTTGGGCAAGTTTTTCAAGTGAGTAAATTATGTAAAACGAGAAAGGCAATTTCGACAAACGTTCATCCGTGTGCCTGTAAAAGTATACCCTACTTTTTTTGTCACCACGATCAGATCGACAAATACGCATACTTTAGGAAACATAAAGCCCGTCGGCCGTGCCTCCCACCGGACTGTTTCCTTTAAGAGTTTAGTGCACTCTTGACTTCACTGATCTCTCTTACATAACACAGCCGCTTACCTTTGGACTTTGAAGTAACCTGCAGATCTGCGTCGTTGTTCTGGCTGGCAACTGAGAGTAAAATATGACGTCGTCGTCAATTTTCAGTTTGTATCACCACTAGAGGGACTACTAATCAAAGACTTACGTAAATACTCTTTTTAGTTTACCTTTTAAAAAGATTATTCACGTTTTCCCCTCACACAACTACAGATTAAATTAAAATTCTACTAATTCAAGGGGAAACGTCTGTACAGAGTATTTAGAGCAATATTTCACTCCTTTATTAGTTCTCACTGAAAACTCCACTCTCTGTAAATTGGTGGGTTAAACGTTTTTATTCTTGAAATGATTATATTGTTTTTAAATGTGGCTCAGACAAATATTTTTTTTTAATGTTTCTAAGGGATTTGACTGCTGTGAAGCCTTCCTGTAAATATTAGGGCCCTCACAGCAGTATCAGTCACTTTACGGCAACTTTCATTTTGATTTCAGGCATGAAGCCAGGAGCCGCAGCGGAAAGTTTCTAATAGCAACATCCTAAAAGCAGTCATAGCCACCTTCAGACACCACTGACCCAGCTTATACACACAGCAAAATTCGTATCGTGTTAATAAAAATATTCTGGTTAAAATCGGTGAAAAAAAAAGTCAATATCGGAAGTCTTCGTAGTCTAAAATACAGCTTTCAAAACAAAAGCATGAGACGTGTATCGTTAGTCCAGATTAAAGTGTATGCTATGACAGTCTGTAAATCTAAACCATGAAATTCGACAATATCTACGGATCTGTTGTATAATTTTGCGTTTAGCTACCATTAAAACTATTTTACAATTTGTCAATGCTTTGCTACATGAAGATAATTTCGCCGGATTTCCTGTGTCCCCGTGCTGAACGAATCAGCGTCACTGGCAAGGGGGTACACTGGTGGTGCTATCTGTCGCTGTTTTGGAGGTTTCCAGGATTACAGTGGAGTTTTGAATGAGTCATATTGGACACTTATTTGTCTCGTTTTTGTCTGCCTCGTGCTCAGGTTGGTGTGTCCGTTGAATATGTGAGCTTTTAACAGTTTGGCGCACAGGGCATGTGCATAGTTTCAAGCATGCCTCGCACTCACCTTTACTCTACCTTTGCAAGCAACTACAAGTATGGATTAGTTAGATTTTATTCACTGACTTAAACTTGCAGTCACCTCGGGAAACAAAAATATACACTGACGTAACAGCATGGAATATTTAATAGCTCAGGTGGAAAGCGTCATTGAATCTGCAAGCTGTGATTGACGTTAGGTAACCGGAAGCTTTTTAATTACGATTTTATTTTACTTATTAATACTTTTATTCTTTAAATGCATCAGGCTGATTTATGTGTATTTTAAAAAAAAAACAACAAACATTAATAATATTGTTTTCTTAATTTTCCTCACAGATTCATCCACTTGGAATGGGAACTGCTAGCAAAGAGACGTTTTTAATAACTGGTGGATCTGGCTACTTCGGTAATCGGTAAGAACAATTTTGCCTTTTTTGTGTTATTACTACACATTATAAAATATTTAAATGCAGGCAAACGCTGCAGCATGAGGTAAGCACCACAAGGTGGCGTTATCACACCAGTTATCTTATTAAGATAAACTTTCTTGACATGAACTGTTGTAGGATTGAAGGTAGAAATATGTGCATCTATTGTACTTTTGTCCTTGGTTTACTGTGCCTGTTATTTTGTTAAAATGGAGGACTGCTTTTTTTCCCCCTGAAGGCTTGCTCTGTCTCTGCTTAAAAAAGGAGCCAAAGTCATCCTGTTTGACATCATCCCCCCAAGTCAAGAACTGCCAGAGGATGTTGTGTTTGTGCAGGGTGATATACGTGAATATCCAGACGTGGAGAAGGCTGTCACAGGGGTGGATTGTGTATTCCACATTGCCTCCTATGGCATGTCTGGCAGGGAGCAGCTAAATCGCCAGCTGATTGAGGCAGTGAACGTACAAGGCACACAAAACATCTTGAAGGCCTGTGTAGAACACGGAGTGTCCAGGCTGATTTACACCAGCACCTTCAATGTGGTGTTCGGGGGTCAGGTAATAGAGAACGGAGATGAAAGCCTGCCTTATCTACCTCTCCATCTTCACCCGGACCACTACTCCAGAACCAAGTCCCTGGCTGACATGGCAGTTCTGAAAGCTAATGGCACAGTGCTGAAGGGCTGCTCGGGCCTGCTGAGCACCTGCGCACTGCGTCCGGCAGGTATCTATGGGCCAGGAGAGCAGAGGCATCTGCCCAGGATAGTTGACTATATAGAGAAGGGGATCTTCAGGTTTGTTTACGGTAAACCCAGCAGCCTGGTGGAGTTCGTCCATGTTGACAACCTGGTGTCAGCCCATGTGCTAGCTGCTGAGGCTCTGACCCCAGAGAAGCAGCACCGCGCCGCTGGCCAGGCCTACTTCATCTCAGATGGAAGGCCTGTCAACAATTTTGAATTCTTCAGACCTCTGGTAGAAGGCCTAGGCTATCGTTTCCCCACACTGCGCCTTCCTATCTCTCTCATTTACTTTTTTGCCTTCCTCACAGAAATGATTCACTGCCTCATCGGCCCCTTCTATAACTTCCAGCCGCTGCTGACACGTACAGAGGTGTATAAAACTGGCGTGACGCATTACTTCAGCATGGCAAAGGCAAAGGCGGAGCTCGGTTACGAGCCCAGGGAGTACAACCTGGATGAGGTTGTGCAGTGGTTCAGAAGCAGAGGCCACGGGAAGAAATGTCACCGCTCCTTCCTCAGTCGACTGCTGCTCAACGTCCTGTTTGTTTCTGCCTTGGTGGCTGTGTCTCTGTCTTTTCTGCCAGTCGTCGGCAGTTAATGTAAAGTAGTCTTGCCTTTTGACTTTGCCCAAAACATCATCCATACTGTGTGAAGACTGACTCATCAATTTTTTCTACATATTTTAATATGTTATCATCCATGTGCACCTTTTCTTTTAAAGTCATTAAAACAAGTCCAGCCATCTAAGGACCAAGTCTATGAGAGCAGTTTAAAGCAATAACATAAGTTAGTTTAATTTTTACATGCTACCTCTTTTTTAACTTGTAAGGGCAAACATCTATGATTACTGGAGAAATACATTTTAAAATATATTTTTGTGCAAAAATTAATAAAACCTGACCTGTGAAATTTGAATTGTGGGTTCTGATTTTTAAACTCCTCCCTTTATCATCAGGAAGACATGTTTTAATAGGTGCGTTTAGAAAATATATATGTATATTTAAATAAATGTTAAAGACCTTAGCAACTATTTTCTATTGCAGAGAGTAATAACATGTTTTTTCCAAGGTTAATCGAGATTGCATATTTTCGTAATTCTTAAACTGTTTTGCTATATTTGAAATCCTCATATCGTGTTTTTATGCAGCTTATTGTAAAATAAATCATTAAAAGCATGATCTAGGCCTACCCTTTATTTATATGTGGAAAACGATATCTGAGAACATCTTTACATCTTTGAAAATTGAGTTTTAAACGCATCTGCCCTCCATTAATACCGAATCACTGCAGCTCATTCCTGGTGTAAAAGGAGTCGGACCAGGTGAGGCGTGCTTTGTGTGGTATTTTAGTCTGCCCGGGATGAATGCAGACGTCCCCTTCTCTCTTAAACTATTCTCTTCAGAGCCGGCAGCCCCTTGCTGAGTTGGTCGCAATCATTGTTTCTCTGCAGCATTAACCACATTCCAGAGAGGCGCAGCGCATCCAGTCTCCTTCCCCGCATTCCTTTCACGCGAACGAGTCCCCTGCATTAAACAGCGTTTTGTTGAGATTTTTGCGCTCTTTGTGCGCTCAGGCTTGCACACAAAGGGTGTTTGCAGCATATACGATTATCCGACCTACTTTGATTTCTTGCACAGTGGCCGTAAAGGAAATCTAGAGGAAAAACCAACAAGGGGAAATTCCTCCGCGCAGCGCGCCGTTGACTGTAAAGACCTTTCAACTTAACAAAAACTGAAGTTGACAAACGTATCGCTGTCGGCTGAAACTGTGAGAAAGAGTTTGTGTTTTCGGCGAAGCGGGGGAAGCAGAAGAAGACGATGCGGCTCTCGGCGGGGTTTGCGGGCATGTAAGTGGTTTTCTGTGAGTGAGGGACGGCTGTACGGCGGCGTTTTGTTTTGATTTCCATGTGAAACGCAATTAGTGCTCCGCGGTGCTCTATAGTTTGGCTCGCGCAGCGGAGCGCACTCTGAACTTGTTTCTCTCCTCGGGAGCACAACATGGAGCATTACCAGGAAGATTTGGGACTCCGTGCCACCAAACTGATGGAAGACCTTTCTTTGTATGATGCGTACCAGGACGGGATGTACGATGCGAGGAGAGACTTGGTGATTAACCCCGATTTAGACTTTTCGGCTCCGGCACTGGTTGAGCATAAAGCCAAGCCGATGAATGGGACCTCTGTGCTTCACCAGCAGCATCACACAGTGGAGAATTTCTCGTCCGGGAATAAAGTGTACAACGCGGCTCCAGTGCGCCCGGTGAATTGCAACCGGACGGTTCCTGTGGATTTTTGCGCCCCTCAGAGGGACGCGGTTTATAACGAGGATGGTTGTTGCACCAAATCCGAAGTAGCTTTGCCTTGTTATACAGGCACTTCCGAGAGACACAGGAGGTACTCTCTGGAGGTGCAGGGCCACAGGTACAGCACCGGCTCCACCTTTGACGGCGTGCCGCTCAACAAACCGGTGGCTGTGCCCGGCAACAGGTGCAACAGTGTCTGCATCGCCAGCAGCCACGACGGGAGATATAACGCCACCAGTCCTCGCTCCAGCCTGGCATCTTCTCTGTCTTCTCAAGAGCAAAGCAAGCATGCCAGCCCGAGGTCGAGCATCAGCAGCCCGCGTACCAGTCTGGTGGTACCGGGTCAGGAGAGGTACACGAGCCCTAGATCTAGTTTGGTTCACTGCGAAGGAAACAGTGTCCTCAGTCCCCGATCCAGCTATGCAAGCACCGCCAGCGACACGAGTAAACACTCAAGTCCCCGGGCCAGCCTCAACAGCTGTGACTGCTGCAGCAAGCCCAACAGCAACCGCACCAGCGGCATCAGCATGGG